ATATCGCCTCGAGCAGGCAGATGTTGTGGTAGTCCTTGTTGTTGGCTCACCCAATCCTCAACGAGGCCATCAATGATTGCATCCACCAAGCGAGGTGGGTACTCTTGGGCTTTATGAGGTAGGCCTCCGACCAGTGGCTCGTGCTCTTCTGTGCAGTTGCAATGTCTTTCAAGGTTCACTGCCATAGAGTCACTGGTAGTTGCGAATAGAGTGGCCTTCTTGTTCAACTTCTGCCGGACTCCGAGGCCAAAACGACAAAGGTCAGCTTTGACACTTTGACCAAAACCACGGCGTCATGGGCCAGAAACTTCTTCACACTTGGAAGCTGCCATGAAGTGGCAGTTCGTGGGTGTTCATGTAGTCCAAGATCTCCACGTTGTAGTTGGTCTCCTTGGAGGGTCATGGAGTAGTCCAAGTGTTCAATGGCGGGCCCAAGCTCCTCTTGCAACATCTCAGGATACCATCTCAGGTTCTGAAGCGGGGAAAACTTGGTGCAAGGAGGGCATGTGATGAGCAGCCGTGGTTTGCGATGCTGTAGTTCTTGTCGGATCTGAGCCTTCTGTGGTCGTTGACTCAGGCCCACGCCTGTTGAAAGGTCAACAGACAATTCTGCCTTCAGGCCTCTGGCTTGCGCTCGTTGGACGACACGAGGAGGGCTGTAGATCTCGACAGTGGAGTCGTCGGCGTCCCACAGTGAGCCATAGATCTCAGCCACGTCGTCATGCTCTTCAGCTTCTTCCCACAATGCCCAGTAGGTGGTCAGGTCACCAAGCATGCCGTCCAGGCTGCGATTGATCTCGGCCTTGTCGGAATTTGAGAGTGTGACCTCGTTCTCATACTCGGTCTCGTTCAGGTAATCGATGAACTCTGGATTGAACTCATAGAAGACCACATAGTCCACTGGGGCTCCAAAGGCGTAATCGTCACCGGGAGTGTTGGTCACATCAACTGCGCGCCACAAATCATCGCCTCCATGTGTCAGAATGACACGTCGGCTAACAAAGGTGCTGGTGACAATCGGTGACTTGCCTTTGACAACATCGCCATATCCGATGGCTACGAAGGTGGTCTGCGGGTCAAGCTGAAGGGTGTCCAAGAGGCCGCCATAGGTCTCGTCAGGATCTGCATGAGGTGGTGGTGAACTGAGCCACCAACTGCTTACTTGTTCAGGTTCTCGATGTTGAACTGTCCCATCCTCATGTAGTGATCCGGAAGCTGGTAGAGGTAGATTGCCAGGCTGCACTGAGAGTTCATGCAGATCAGTTCGGTGTGCTGTGCATCCGCTGCTACATCCTGTGCGGTCGTCATCTCCTGGGCGTTGCATCCCGGGCAGATGATCACTCCTGTAGCTGGTTGCGCTTGATCTTGAAGATGCACCCATGCTCTCCTGCACTGTTGATTCGAGCAGCGCCAAAGGAGTCGGCCATTCACCTTGTGTCGATGGAGCAGCAGGTCGCCTTGACTGCACAGGTCGCGCAGCTGGGCTAGTACTTCGTCCTGGAGGTTGGCCATGGCAATGTCCTGAGGGCCAATGGGAATCACATGCTCCCACACCTGTTGCCAATCCATCTCCTCGGGTTCCTCGTCGTCGAACTCCTCCGGGTCCGAAGAGAACACCGGGATGTTGGGATTCTTGTTGGCCTTTGCTGTTGATGTCTTGAACTTGTAGCCGTGGGCCAGTGGGACTTGCATCCAGTCCGAACCAGCGGCCGACTGGGTCTCGCTCTTGGCCTTCTTCTCCTCCTTGATCTGCTTCTTCTGGTAGAACTCGTGCTTGGAATACACAAGGGTGTTGTTCCAACTGGCTGATCGGCGTCAAGGGCATTTGCTGTTCTTGTTGACAGTTGGTGCACTTCTGAAAACTCATGTTCTTGTTCGCCCCATGCTTGGTGTTGAGGTGCCTGCAGTGGGTGCTGTCTTCCAAGCATGGTACCAAATATTTGCCCTTGCCCATGATGCATGCCAGCGGTCTCACTCGGTCGTCTCGCCTGGACATGGTCAAGGTCGTTCCAGGCTTCACAGTGTTGGCGTCTGCCACCTCCGCCAGCATCCTCTGCTCCTCCTGTGCCAAAGCAAGGGAGCGTTGTTCCAACTCTTCTCGCTGGCGTTGTAGTCGTCGGACACCACGGAGTTGGGGAGTTCGGATCACCTCCATGAAGCAGACTGCTGAGCCTGCAGCACCATGAATGCCCACAAGCGCAGCAGCAAGCGCCGCCAGCGGCCCAGCCATTGAGCTGCTGGAGGCATAAGGGACCGAGGGGCGGTGCAACACGTCGTTGGCCTTCACCGACCAAACTTGACTTCTGGTGCCAGCGAAATCGGCAGGGACATTGAAACCCGAACCAAACTCCGTGATGCAAACAGCGACGTGACCGGTGGACATTCTCATCATGCGTTGGTGAACTGAATGTGCCATATAACAAATGACCAGGTTGCGCATGTCAATCACCGCTTGCAACTCCGTCAAGAAGTATGCCGGCAGGAGGAATGGGATCTCACCAGGGACAACCTGTACTCGTAGTACACCGCTCAAGCCACCCAGCCAATAGGTACATAGGCTATCTTCGTGGATTCCTCCTGACCGCATACTCCACGAACCGAGCCCCCATGTTCGGTTGACCATTGGACCTGCAAACCAAAAACTTGTTGTAGATGTTGATCGTGCCTCTTGAGGGTCTCGAAACCGACCAGACCGTGTTGGGCTGCCGTGTCAACCAATGCCATCCCCCTCTCCGGACTCGAGCCGAGGAAAACGAACGAAAGCAGCGTGAGCGTGTATTGACTGCTGGCTTGATCCGAGGTGGTCGTCAAAAACCTATGCCCACAGTTGGCCATCACCGATGGTGGTGAAGTGAAAAACCCTGTGGACATGGATGAAGTGCCGCTCACGTGTGAGGTCGAGCTCCGGGATGAAGGTGAGGTCATGTTCTTGTTTCTCTGAGGGCGTTCACGTGACCAATGGCCAATCTGCTTGCATTGGTGGCACCTGGATTTGGACTTCAGGTCACTCAGTGACATCCGGGAGCCTTGACGTTGCTGCCAGGGTCGTTCAAATCCCCTAGCATTGCGAGTGGCCTGCAAGAGTCGTCGATGCTCCAGGTAGCCACCTCCACGTCCAAAGCCTGGGGCTCCAGCTCCAAAAGTGCGTGAAGTGCCACCTTTGCCCTTTCCTTTTCCTTCTTTGACTTGCCTTTGCCCTTTCCGCCATGGCCACCATAGAGACGGTGCTGGGTCTCATAGAAGATCTCCTCAAGGCTTTCGCCCATCAACTCCACAGCTTCGCTTTCTTCCAGGCACCTCCTGGTTGACCATGAACTGGGCTTCACTGCCATCGTCCGCCAGGGCGATCAGGTCGGAGAAGATGTCGTCATCTTCAAGCTCATAGTCCAAGTAGGTGTCACCGTCATCATCGATGAACTCCTCCGCCACCTCCTCATCAAAGAAGGTAGCGCTTCTCCAGCGCAGGGTGGTCACCATGGTGATGGGCCTCATCCAACTTATCTCCAAACACCTTTTGGATTGCTACCTCGATGTCCTTGTAGTCGATGGACCCATTGGTGACAACCTTGAGGCGTTGTCGCTGGTCTTGGGTGAAGGAGCCTTGCCGTAGGATCAAGTGACCCAACAAGTGCCTGCCAGGGCTCGAGGTGAGCAAATCCAAGCCCTGATTCTTCAGCTCTGCAAATGCAGCTTTCTTCTGAGTGAGAAAGCTGGTCAGGGTCTGTCCACGTTCTCGTCGACCCTTGAAGATCGCGTCGTCGAACGCGGATTCCAGTCTCAGGTCTCTCAGGTACTCGTGGGCGTCCTCGATGATGCCGATGATGGTCTTGTGGCCATTCTCTGCGGTGATCTCATCCACCGTCAAGTGTGCAACCAATGCTGACAGCTTTGAACCAAGTGGGATGCTATCAATGATTCTTTTGCCGATGAGGTTGTGTGGTAGGCGTGCTTCAGCCTCAACCAACCAAAGCTTCATGTTCCTGATGTACTCCTTGTAGTTCTTCTCAGGGAGGTCTCCTCCCCAAGATGGTGCAGGATCTACCTTGTAGTCCACGAACTTCCGGTCTCGTGCACCGGTGGTGGAACCGGCCAAAGTGGCTGCCGCCGCCGCTGCCGCTGCCCATGGATCCTCATGGCCATGCCCTTCTCCATAATCACCGGGGTCATGTACAGGTGAAAGTCGTTGATGATCAGGTCGCTGAGGACTTGCCGCCGGTGACCTCGGAGGGGCTGCCATCGAGGGAGCCGGTGATGTAGTGGTGGCCCCAATGCCACCTCTCCAAAATCGATGTAGCCGTTCGGCTGACATCAACCAATCCCGTCAGGGACAATCCCAGTATGAACTGGTACTCGAAGGCGTCCAGGATGTAGTCAACCTGGTAGCCAAGGGTCGCGACCAAGAAGGACGGTCGAAGCCGCCGCCAGCCGCAAGCTAAGGCCGCCGCTGCAAAACCAGCGTAGCGCTCTTCAATCTCAAAACTCACACCCAAAGGAAAACAAGGGCCGTAGTGGCCGTCGAAGAAAGCCCTCCGGCAGGAGGGGACTTGTCGAAGCCCTCGAAGACGAGGTCGATGTTGGACAGCTCTGGTCCGGGGCGTCCCCCGGCCAAGGAAGAAGTCCACCTCCTGCGGAGCCCAGGTCGTCACCCGAGCTCCGCTACCACTGACAAACAGCGGAACGCGCAGCGCCGATAGCACGCAACGAAGAATCACCTTTTCAGGTGAACGCTCAAGGGGCCCCTAGTTCGGGCCAGTTAGGTAGCGGCGGGCCGACGTCCAAGGTTTACCCGGGCAAAGTCTGTTTCGTTTCTCACACTCCATACATTGCTTTCCTGTTCGATTTTGCGGCTCGTCGATTCTAAAGACAGAAAGAAAAAAGCGACCCTTGTTACTAGTGATGCACTTGTTACTAGGAAGGAAGGTCTGAAAGGTCTGAAAAAGAAAAACATAGAAACACCAAACGAGAGAAGCGTTGACTAAAGACGACCAACCCGAGCGCACCTGCTCGCCCTTCAAGGCACCCAAGTCACGTAGATTCTGGGCTGCAGTTTCAATGCGCTGCTGTGGCCTGATGAGTGACGATGAGCGATGGCTGTTGTCGCCAAGAACGATTCAAGGAATAGTTTTGCAGCATTGCTTTGACCACAAACACAAGAAATGTGGTGCACATAGTGCACACTGTGCGCACACTCACACATGCATTATTGCAATTCATTGAATCATATTAAATCATTCCATGTTTGGCATCATGTCCTGCAGGATCAACGTGACTGGAAAGCGCTCACGAGAACGGATGCACTAAAGCAAAGCAAGCTATCAAAGAAATTCCATCATGATTATGTCAACGTAGCAGCTGCTGTGCAGCCCGCACGGTGAGTCAATGAGCTGCCCCAAAAGCTGCTCTGGAGTCCCCAAGTGATGCAGCAGCACACGGCCTCGTTGCAGCAAGGCTTGAAAAAGGTTCGATCAGCAACAAGTGATCTCACAAACGTTCACTCAAAAACCTTGGTCTCCTGTGGCAAGACCACTCCAAGACCACTTGCTTAGGCTGTATTCTCAGAAGACAAACAAATCACCTAGAGGACCTGTAGACAAAATTTGAATTTGGAGCTCCGAACATGGGCCCAGTTGAACGACATGGTCAAGCCAAAGGCACTTTGCCCCGAATACAGTATTCTCATTCAATGCCCGGCAAGCTGCTCTTCAGGTAAATTGACTCCAGCGGGACGCCGAGCACCTGTCATCGGCTTCCAATTAAATTTGCCTGCTTATCTTCATACAAATGAACCCAAACAAGATCAAACAAGCATCGTAGCAACATAAAACTTCAAAACAAGTTGATCAGAATAGAGATGCATAGACTGTGCCCAGGTACAGGGCAATTCGCACAAATGCCAATGTCAATCAGACTCCTTTTGGTTGTCCTGATGCAGGGAGTCCAGGAGTGTGAGGGGATCGCACTTTGTGGCAAACTTTGTGGTGATTGGCATTGGCAAGTGCGCAGCAAATGACTTGCGAAATGAGATTAGGCGGCAGGCGTGCGATTGTCTAACACGACTTGGGACAACGAGGTGAAGCAGTACAGTACGCCACTAATTGAACCATGAAACTTTTGTTGATACTGGTTGATACTAGCTGATGTTGAATGTTTCTGATCACCCATGCAAACCCTTCCATTGACCTCTCTTTCAGCTTGTTAGGATCTCCTTTCTCGAGTCTGCTGTCATCTATATACTTTGGTGGTGGCTGGTAGGCTTGTGGGCTGTCCCACAATGTGGCCTCAGGGGAGGCATAAGGCTGCAATCGCTCATAGTGGCTTCGAGGAAAGAGGTAAATGATGACCTTGGCCCATACATATGCAGACAAAATTGGCGAGATAATTTGATGTGTTGAGTCTTGAGTCTTGAGGTATATACTGGTTGCTACTCCTTGCTGTGACTAAGAACTCTTCGTGTAGGCTGAATTTGCGGAACTGCCATGTGCTACCCAGTACTATCTCTTCTACTTCTACAGCATCTATTCTGATTCTACCTTTTTTGACGAATTCAAACTAGTTGAATGAATCTATCATCAACTCCCACCAACGCTAGCAAGATCTGAAAGGCTGGTAGCAGTCCCTTACTTTCAGTCGACAGCACCTTGAACGCCCTGGGCGCCTTGCACCTTCTTGCAATCGACCACAACGGCCACGCCCTGGGTACGTGACAGGCAAAGGCATCCAAACGCATCCAAAGGCATCCAAAGGCCTAGTAGTGATGGCCTCCACCCTAGTAGCGTCCTTGCTCCTAGCAGTAATGGCCTCCACTCTAGTAGCTTCTTGTTACTGGGCTAATAATAAGCAGCCAAAGAAGGATGACGGGATAGAAGCGTATTTATATAGTTGATGACGTTTGGCATCGCCGGTTCACATTTTGTGACGTCGTCTATTGGCGATTCTATTCCAGAGGCTTCTTATGTGAGCATTGGCATGCAGCCTAGGACCAGCTGGACCCAGATACTTCAACAACTTGAAGACCTGTCCTTTGCTGCCATCCTCAAGAAGAATGACGTTCACTGCAAGACACTGAAACATATATATATATACACAGTATATATATATATGTACAACACACTAAGCACCACAGACCTCGTGGTAAGATGCTGCAAGAGCTTTTTCGGAGAGGATGCGTTTCAACATTCTAGATCTCTCAAACGCTTCCTACATGCCTGGTTCAAATGGAGGTTCCTGTTGAGACAGACTCTGCACTTTCACCTAAGACACACCGAACCACTTGTTAAGGATTGTGGCAAGAAAGAAAACAGATTCATGGAACAAGCACCTTAACTGCGATCCTAATTCATGCTAGAGCCACTCAAACGGTGACCCAGACCAAGTGGCCAACCCATTAGGGGTATGCTCAGAATTTTAGAACTCCTTTCAAAGATGCTCAATTCAATCTGTTTCCAGTGTTCCCAACCTCAATCTTGAACACAAAACCACCTCCATTATACGTTGTTGTTGTTGTTGTTGTTGTTGTTGTTGTTGTTGTTGTATTCCTGTGCAACATTCCTGTGCAACATTGTGTGATACTTTACCTCTGTCCACTGTCGTGGTTCCGATTTCTTCCTGTTCCTTGAGACATGGAATCCGAAGAAGCTCTGCCAAGACACGCTGCCGGCAGGTAGCCTGGGAACTCCATGTGTTGCAAAGGCTCCTGGCGCTGCTGGGTAAGCACGGACCTGACCTGCCATGGTTCTATCACAAACCCTGTTGATTTGACAAATACTCTCATTAAGAGGAAACAGCAACAGGCCCGTCACTGACAAGACATATACAACTCTAGAAAAGGACCGGTGTTTATCAACTAACCGAAGCACATTGGCTGTACGTATACAAAAAGTGATAAACGACAGCCTCTCAGCTTGATGACAAGCATCAATGGCACGAACCCCCCCACACCAAGTCAATGTGTGTCCAAAAACATAGGTCTCGCAAAAGTTACATGTAACAAAAAAATACATTCACTCGTCTTACATGCATAAACTGCACAAGCCACAAACGACCATCTCAAATGAACGTATCCCCTTCACCATCCTTCACAAAACCTATGGCCTTGGTCTGCTACAACTTCTGCTCATCAACTGTTCCAAAACTGACACGTTTGCAACTTACGCAGTGCAAGTTCCACGCACAAAGCTATATCCCAAAAAGTGTACACGCCTTACTTAAACCAAACGGCGTAACAACTTGGACACATCAACAAATTTGTAGATGAAGGAGGTAGGGTTTACACAACGTGCTTGACTCTTCATGCAAGTTCTTACTTCAGACTGCTTTCTCCACACCGTCCGTTTTCACGGTCTGTCTTCAGCTGAGCTCTGCAAAATACGTATGATTAAACCGTTTAACCCCATGTTCGCATAACATTCTTAGGCTCCTGCTTACACTTTTCTTACGCGACCACAATGTGACCCTGCGTGCGAAGTATGTCCCGACCTTACACAGATCTTACGCACCTGCGTCGAGCACACATGAGAACCATATCCGCAAGGGAAATGCTTACGCAGTGGTCCTTTTTGCCGATATGCGGGTGACAAACGCAAACGCTTGTATTATATGACAAGGGCATTACTTAGTTCATCTTGGGAGGCTTCTTGTGGTGCCCACCTGCTGTCCTTTATCTAATTCCTTGACCCTGCCATCCCCTTCCTTTGCCTGTTGTTATTGAATGTCGCAACAAAAGGGGGGGTGCTTCATTGCCATGCCATGAACTACACAAATTTATACTTGCGGCCTAATTTACATAGGGCGTAAACGGAGTACGTAAGTAGAACTTGCCTAGCAAACTGCATGGATCTCTGCTGCATGTGTCTCTGCTGCCAGGCGCACTGCATGGCCCGCTCTTCATCGAAAACCATCTTCCGCACAATTCCGAAGTCCAAAACGTACCGAACCTGGAGGAGTTCCAAAAATATAACCACGGAGTTCTCCAACAGAAAGACTAAGAATGGAACATCCGGGATAGTGATTGATGACCTTGGAGCATCGAGGTGCAATCTTGCAAGCTTCCTTTAAGTAGTAGACTTAGTAGGCTGAGAACAAGGAGCAAGCCATATGCAACCTCTTGTCAGGCGGACTTGCGCAAGGCCCCGAGCACCCCAACTCTGCGATGTTAGTTGAAAGCACCACCTTGCAATGCCCAGCCTCACACAAAGGACAAAACCACAGCTCAGGCCGGCCCCTCTACTCAATGTGTTTGAATGTGTCCACTCGTTTCATCTTGTTTTGAAGTGTCCAATTCCACAGAATGCTGAGTTGCTGAAACATGCTGAAGCTCTGGCTGGAGGTGGAAGAAGGGCGCGCTTTTGCTGTTCATGGGGGACCACTGAATGTAACATGTGGTAATCCTGAGAATCGAGCAAACCGCAAAGTCAAAAGCCAAAAGCTGAATCTGAAAGCTAAAGGCGAAGTGGGGAAAGCAAAAGAAGGACTCACCTAGGGTGTTCGGATTGAAATTTCATCTGGTCTTCGAAACATGCTGGAGGGACCAGCGGGCATCTGCCCTTCCGACTGTGAAAGGCCTCCGAGATTGACTTCCGCCGCAAGCAAACACTCATCAGCATCATTGATGTGAAACGAACTTTAGACTTGAACAAAATGTGTAGTGTAGAGGCACAAACAGGTTCCAGGCTGACTCCACAGTGCAAAGCAATTGAGCAAAGTTAAAAATATGATGGCACAAATGCATACAAATGCAACTTTGCTCGGAGGAAGAGCACGAGACATCCAGGAACCAATCGTTTTGGGACATGCCTGCTTTCACACGCCTTTAGCAAGAATGTCGTGCGCTACTGAGATACCAAATGCATCCTTACTTGTACCAACAAAGATCGTCTATTGTTCCACCATATTCCACCTATCACCTCATATCACCTCATATCACCACCTATCACCTCCCATGAGCTTCTCGTTCCTCTCAGTTGTTCCTCTCCATTGTTCCTCTCAATTCCTCAAACTAAATCAAGCGTCCTTGCTCCTAGTAGCGATGCCAGGAGCCCCTAGTAGCTTCTTGCTCCTAGTAGTAAGGCCAGGAGCCCCTAGTAGCGCCCGATCGCTCCTAGTAACAAATTGGTCAATCAAACATGTGCTCTCGTGCTGCCAGATGCGCATGTGATCTGGTCCGTGGTCGATCCACATCTCCAAGCCTCATGCAACTGTTCGATCTCTGCAAGGCCTGGCCTTAGAGTCTTGCAGCACATGCCGCTTCTGAGCATATGCCTTCTGTAATCTCAAGTCAAAGTGTAGCCAATGCCAAACATGGAGTCAATGTCAAACATGAATATCATCACTTTGACTCGTAATCTTCAAGTTCAAGCCGGAGCTGACCTTCGCGTGCACCTTCCACCATTGGTGCCCGGACAAAAATATCAGCACACAAAGCCCTGGTTTTGCAACTGCCTGCAGGGAACAAAGTGACTGGGTCTGGGTGTGGCAAACGCCCAAGTTGAGACGATGGCATAATTGACTCAAATGTACTGACCACAAGGGTTCATTCAAAATCCAAGCTTATCTTGCACAGGCCATGCCAAGACTCAACGTCAAGAAGCTGGAAAAAAACATGGATTCCAATGGATATGGCACAACACACTGACTCACCCTGAACCAGGATGCAGATGCGAAATGCAGTGGCCTCTACGACACTCACACAAGTATCGAAGAGCTGCGGATTCACTTCTACACGCCCTCCCTTCTCAAACCTCAGTGGGGAATGAGGGAATGATTCAACACTGAAAAACGGCAGGGTGTTTGGGGATATGATAGGCTAAAAAATGCGAGGCTAGAACCCAAACAGTTTGGAAAACATGGATCGCTGTTCGATCAATCCTAAAGTCTGGAACTGTGGGACACATTTGAAGTGCGGTGTCGGATTTTTCCACCTTGCTTGGTGAGGGCTCAGTGGATGCAAGCGCCGATCTGTCAAAAAACACCATTTGGGACATGTAACTCAACATGCGTTCCACGCTGTCTTGTTCTCAGCATCCAATCCATGTGGTATTGACACAAGTTCCCTGCCGATCCATGCGAGCACGCGAGGAGACACCCGGCAACGCCTCAGAGACTCTACAGTGACAGAGCTGGCCGCGTTGCCACAAATTGCACTGCAATGTCGTGGACAAAATGGGCAACGTTGCTACACCTGCCATAATTGAAAGCAATCAATGACATCCCTGCTGGAATCCTATGATTTTTGCAAGGGTCAATACACGGCTGCTATTATTTGCTCCGTTTGCCCTGTTTGCGTGACACTTTTCTAAGGACACGTCCCCATTCACCAAGTCGTCCAAATAATAAGGGTACCTCACCCATGGGCAAGGGAATTAAATGAAAACCTTGGCGGTGCCAAAAACTAGACTCCGTGTTTGGGCGCCACTGGGGCCCCAACGTAGGGAACCGTCGGGAACCCACCACAATGGGTTGACGCTCGATGTTCACTCCTGGCAACCGCTTGGGCAAACAAAAGCAGAAACACCATGGAATCACCACAAGTTGATGAAGTACAATGAGTGTTGCAACTTGGCACTCGCACAAAGCCGAAAACAGCCCGATTACAAAACCCTACTGTCCTGGCCCGCCGAAGTAGTCTAAGAACCTTGGCCGACATGTTGTCTCGCTGCTTGGCTGCCTACCCTCCAACAACCAACATGTTTACATGACATGCTCTGCCTTTGTTGCCGCAACTTGTCTGGGCACAACTTTTGAACCTCGGCCTCAAAAAATGAGCTGGCGAGCGGGCGAAGGGGTGCTGCCGACCCAACGCCGGAGCCGTTTCCGCTGCTGTGGAGGGGAAGCGGGCACCTGGTCACTTTCCTGATACGCCGGACCCTCCAGCCTGAGAAACATTACGTTCTCTCGGTGGCAGAGCCAGTGATCCTGCTGGAAAGCTTCCAAGTGCGCCGCTGATAAATCCAGGGTCGTCACCACTGCACGACCGCACAAGGAGTAGCGGTATGCATAAACATTTGTGGCTGACTGGCCCCCCTTCACAATCTTGGCCCTGCCCTGGAGGCTCTCACGATGGCGCTTCAGGAAGAAGGTGTCAGCGAGGCCATCCAGGAGAACACCGGCGTGGATCTCGCGATTGAAATCCGCTAGATCCAACGCCTGACTCTCCTCCACTGTGATCTCCAAAAATCCAGGCAAGTCCAACCGCTTGGCGATCCTCTCAAGGATGTCGCTTGCAAGCATTGACTTGCCCAGGCGTGTTCCACCGACGATGGCCAGGACAGGCCGGCGGAACCGCGGAGATCCATCATGGAGGGAAATGAATTCCTCGACAACCTCAAAAGCCTTCATTGGTCGCCTGACACCAACCAATGCAGAGGCGTCGCGAGCGACGGCCTCTTCTAGCGCTGCGTCCTGCTCGAACCGCTCTGCGGCCTTGCAGTCCTGCAAGCGCTTGGCAAAGCCCACGGTCACCTTGGCTGCCCCAGCCAGGTAGGTGCCACGTGTGAGCTTGCCGGCTTTTAAGAGGTTGTCCAACCACCAGCCCTCCACAGCATATGCCTCGAAAGGCCGGTGGTTGCTCCAGCTCTTCATGGAGCCCTTCTTGTCCACGACGACGTAGAAGTGGCCGTACCGCACTGCACCTGCGTACGCATTCCCGCTGGCCTTGTTGGTTGCCAAATGCGGGTGAATGCCCCGGAAGACAAAGTCAACCAGGGCATTCGCACCACGCCTGTGGAAAGGCTGGGCAAGGTGCATGTATGCGTGCAGGTGCAGATTGGCTGGCCCTGCAGACTCCATAGTTGTGGAAAGGCCTTGGGACTCTAACTTGTTCGCAAGCCCCTGTATGAACACCTGGAACTCGTCCCAAAGAGCCTCTAACCCCTCCATGTCCGGCCGCCAGCTCCTTGAATTGTAGGTCAGCTGGACGGCACGAAACTTCCAAACCCGCGAGGCCCCTGGCTCCTCTGCTTCAGCAGCTTCCTCGGCACCTGCGTCTTCCTCGGCAACCTCGAAGGTGGCCTTGAAGTCACGCAGGGCGGAGTCCAGAGCCTCGCGGTCTTCCGGCCCAAGGCTCAACGCAGCCAGTTGCTGGGCCACTGCCTCAACCCTTGGTCGGGAACCATTGGTGGGCGGCGCGGGCAGATTGTTCTGGCCGGCTAGCCGGCGCAGCACTTTGACGTGACGTTCACGTTCTGCGTTCCGCCTGCCCATTGTTGAGGGGGAGAACTGGAGGGATCGCAAAACTTAAAAACCTTTGGGCCGAGGGCTTTTCCAGCCAGCACTGATTCAACATGCTTGAAACTGTACCTTCGCCGGGTGTATTTGGCCGTAACGCGAGAGAGACGGAACCGGATAGAGGCCGGGGAAATGCAAATTGATGTTCAATCTTGCTACCGAAAACCCTGCGCAAGAGTATAAACTAGGTTTTCTGGGACCCATTTTCGAACTGCTTTTTTGCTCTCAGTCTGAAGCAGTCAAGCTCAGAGGCTGGAAGTTAGCCAAGGTGAGCGCAGCTTTAAACAGATCGATTTGATTTGAAATTTGAAATAGTAAAAATAATTCAATATATGTTGAACAAAAAAGGAAAGCTCTTTCTGTCCAACACCATGGCCTTAAGGTCTTTAACTCTGACTCCATCAAAGTAGTGCGATGAACGGTTAGCCTCGGCTTTGCTGAACAGTCACAGCCGTCTGATTCTTTCTACAGCTCGGATCTCATCAGTCTTGTGCTGAGATAGTCTCGCTTCAGCTCGTACTCACCTTGGGCGCATGCAAAGTCAATCCAAAGAAATAAAATTAAAAAAGTAGAACAAATGTATCGATAGAAAAAGGATGCAAATTCTTTTGTCTTCTTTCTTATATATATATATTCTGTAATCGTCCCTGTTATGTTCTTTCCTAAGTAATTATTCAGATTCGGCCACAATGTTCGCATGGAAGCTCCACGGTGCAGTGTGATGGTAGGTCCTGGTAGGTTAGTAGCCCCAAAAAACTCCGTTCTGGTGTGCGCAATCTGTACGGGTCCAAGGGCCATTGAAGTTCAAATCTCAGTCAGCAAACCAAGGGAGGAGCCTTACTACTGTACTAGGAACAAGGACGCTACTAGGGGCTCCTGGCCTTACTACTAGGAACAAGAAGCCACTAGGGGCTCCTGGCATCGCTACTAGGAACAAGGACGCTACTGGGGGCTCCTGGCCTTACTACTAGGAACAAGAAGCTACTAGGGGCTCCTGGCCTTACTACTAGGAACAAGAAGCTACTAGGGCTCCTGGCATCGCTACTAGGAACAAGAAGCTGCTCCTGGCCGTACTACTAGGAGCAAGGACGCTACTAGTGCCTAGCGAAGAATGACAACATCTTTGTCTCTTCAGTCACCCTCAAGTTGCAGCCAATTGAAATGTTCATATATCGATGTTCAGCGTGTCTTTTTGTGTGCTCAGTTTTCTGTAAGAAGTCGTTAGCTATAGCCGATACCCTTTTAATAAGGCTCCTATCGGCCCTATCGGTCCTGCAGAAATCTGAACAATTACAGCAGCACAACTTCTTTGTGATTCTACCAAATGCTCTTCAGTTGCTCATGTATGCAGCTGGGTGACTCATCTTGCTGATCCATTGTAACTGCAATGGGAACAATATGTCAAGCATCAACTGAAGATAAAACAGGAATCCATCTGACCAAACACCAATGAAGATAAAACACCAAATTAAACTATTCAAGTCTGAACATCAATGCTTTTGGCAAGCACAAGTGAGCAGCGCTAGTCTAGTAAGTCCTGGCCTTGAACTTCACGTCCACCTTCGCTGGTGCTCCCGTACGTAGCGCAACCCGCTCGATCACAGCACAAATCACGATGCGCTCGGGTTCGTGGAAGTGTTCCTGCCCGAAGTTGCAAGTAAAGCTCCGAACACGTAGCTTCTGGTGGTAGACATGTTGTTTGTGAATGATGGGTGGATTGTGATGCATTGCACCAATTGCCCCATCGACTCCAACAGCTTCAACCTTTTAAGAACTCATAGAGTTTCTCAATCATCTTGGCAACGAAAAGTCGAACTGCCACCCTCCTTCAGCTGGTTTGGCATTCGTTCCAGAGTTCGCCATGCGCCTCAAATCCAAGCTGGACAAGACCCCCACCACAAATATGACACACCCAGAATACACTTAAAAATATAAAGTAAAAAAGATCTTATGTTGTTTTCTTCTTTTGCAAAGTCGAAAAGTCAAAAATGTCGAAAGTCAAGGTGCATGTCTCATCCAGTTCCGGCTGCATCAACGGCAAGTCTGCACAGTTTTCACTGACAGCCTCCCGCATTGCGAAGTCTATGGAACTTGGGGGTTCTTGGGGCAACGGCGTTCCAAGTGGATTTCAACAAGAAGGGCCTCAGGGCCAACAACTTGCGGGAGGCAGTTGAATTGCAGTTTAAACATGTTTCTCAATTCCAGGCCTGGTGCAAATACTCAAAGTAGCTCTTCACATGTTGCACGCCGATGGCATCTGTCACGGGCCCGTGGCCCGGCACGAAAAGCCAGTCCTCCCCGGTGGCCTGCAAGGAGCATCCGCCAATCAAAAAACTGCCAACAGCGGCAACAAAATGTGTAAAGACAGCTCTATCTTTTTAAGGGGAGGGGTGGGCCGCAGAAGAGGTAGTAGCTAGAGGTAGGTAGCTAGCAGCTAGGTAGCTATGTAAAGGCGGCGGGGGAAGCTTCCTTGAAGAAGCGCTCGCACTAATGATTTGGTGTATAGACTGTATAGGAAACTTAACAGGGCTACTGGCTCTATAACATGATGATGGAAGTGTTCCAACACCAACCTGACACTGTGTCCACAGCTATGCCAAGGCGAACGAATGGAACTGCAGATCGTACAAAGACCCAGTAGCCCCAAAATCGCCCCCAAAAAATGCAAACAATTGTTTTTGCATTGCTATTAGGTTTGTAGGCCATCGAAATTCGGTTGGAGGCCATCGCCCGTAGGGTGGAGGCCATTGCTACTAGGTTGGAGGCGATTCCGAAACCTTTTATTGCTTGTGCACCAAGCGGAACTGAGAGCCCGAAAACCTGAAACCCACCACCCAGTCAGCAGGTGCAGCTCCTGATTCCCCTGATGAATGCCTTCGAACAAATGAATCGCAACAAGATGCGATTACTTTTAGAACTGTTAAATTACAATAAGCTACTAGGAACAAGTGCATCGCTACTAGTAACGAGTGCCTTACTAGTAGTAACAAGGACGCTAGTAGTAACAAGAAGCTACTAGTAACAAAGGGCATCGCTACTAGGAACAAGAAGCTCCTAGGGGCTCCTGGCCTTACTAGTAGTAACAAGGACGCAAGTAGTACTTGGTTGCCACTTTGTTTTATCAAGATTCAGGTACGTCACCAGCAGTGCGGAGGACCGATTCATCAGCCATGTTGCCATCAAAAAGGGCCTAGCCCCTCACCGATTTGTTGTACGACTTGAACAGTTACACTCGCTTGTGGGCGCTTTGGCCGCATGATTTTACACTTGTCTCCCATTTGTCTCACTGGCTGGTATCGGCATATTTCGGCATAATGTTCTCTTCTGATCTTGATTGTTTTCATCACTCAGAAGTGTCGTCAGTTGTTCTCAGCTTCTTTTCACTACTAGCTTAACGGTATGAACATC